GGGGGAGCCAGCCTATCTTGGGCCTCTTTATTCTGCACTCCATCAGCTGGGCCTGTACCAAGACTCAGAGATGGCATCTCCTACATGAAGGAGTGACCTTTCTTTCCCTTTCACTCATTCACTTAGCATCTATGTGTCAGTGGCTACCAGTGTGTGAAGTACCATGCTGTAGGCTAGACTTCAGAAAGACCAGCTTACATTTAGTGTTGGTTATCTGTGCCATTTATTCCCCTCAGAGCAAATCTGATGCACATCTATGCAAATAACTGGAATGTTCCACTCAATCATTTGGCAGGAAGAACAAGTCCACCAGCCAAAGTGCATAGGGCCCAGAAAATGGGAGCAGGCCGGAAGGGGAGGGCAGTTAGGGGCAATCAGGCTGGCAGGGGGGCAAGGTAGGGGTGATCAGACCAGCAGGTAGAGGCAGTTAGAGGCAATCAGGCAGGCAAGCAGAGGGGTTAGGTGGCAATCAGGCTGGCAGGCAGAGGTGGTTAGGGACGATCAGGCAGGCAGGCAAGCAAGTGGTTAGGAGCCAGTAGTCCCAGATTGTGAGAGGGATGTCTGACTGCCGGCAGTCAACCATCCCCCAAGGGGTCCCAGATTGGAAAGGGTGTAGGCCCGGCTGAGGGACACCCCCTCTTCCCGTGCACGAATTTTGTGCACCGGGCCTCTAGTACTTTATATAAAGTTAAGTCAAGCCATGTGTGGCTAACACAGCAGCCAGCTGCTGCAGTGTTCATTCTATTATTTCAAGAAAGCACAACCTCCAGCTCCACCAAAAAAGGTGAATGAGCAAACGTATATTAACAAAGATGTGTGTGTTTGGCAGTTTTTCAGGTATAAACAAATAATTTGAGTAATATAAGTCAGCATCTTCATTTAAGCTACCAATTAATGTACTAATAAAGGCAAAGGGAAAAACGAAACACTTTTGGGAAACGTGAATCCGGCAGGATGATTTAAAAAAAAATGTTCTTTAACATATCTACCTTTCCCCACCGTTTGTATCCTGTAAACCAGCCTGTCGGGATTACGGACCCTGCCGGAGAATTTTGTAAATCCTTGCATGACTTCTCTGAAAATAAATTCATCAACATACATTAACTAGAAACTTCCTTACTTTTCTGACATGGCATAATTGGATTAGGTAGTTAACTAAACATATTAAGGAAAACACAAAATGATTCCAAAACTAGTATATGAATGTATTCTTGTCTTATAAAAATTAGCATGGAAATTAATATGAATATACACAAGTATTTAATTTTACTTAATGGATTTCTTTGGACAGTTCACATAACTTTTTAGTCAACATGGAGTCAATAATGTATATATACCTTTATATGTGAAAAATTTATATATAAAATAAACATGCTCAATGAGCAAAAGCTAAAAGCATTTCCCTTAAAATCTAGAGCAAGAGAGGGATGTCTGCTTTTACCAAACTTATGCAACATAGTACTGGAAGTTCTAGCACAGTGGTAAGACAAGAAGAAATAAAAGGTATCCAGATTAGAAAGGAGGAAATAAAACTGTCATTATTTGAACAGTATATGACATGATACTGTATATAGAAAGCCCTAAAGACCCCATCAAAAACTACTAGATATAATAAATGAATTCAGCAAAGTTGCAGAATACAAAATCAATACCCAGAAATAGATGGAATTTTTATACTTTAATCATGAACTATCAGAAAGAGAAATTAAGAAATCAACCCCATTTACTCTTGCAACAACAACAAAAATAAGGTACCTAGGAATAAAATTTACTAAGGAGATAAAAGACCTGTACTCTGAAAACTATTAGACACCGAAGAAAGAAATTAAGGAAGATACAAATAAGTGGAAGCGTATACCATGTTCATGTTTGGATTGGAAGAATTAATATCATTACAATGTTCACGCTACCAAAAGTAATCTATAGATTCAATGCAACTCCTATTAAAAGAGCAAGAGCATATTTCACAAATCTAGAAGAAAATATTCCAAAAATGTACATGGAAACAAAAAGACCCAGAATAGACACAACAATCTTAAGAAAGATGAACAAAGTAAGAGGGATCACCATAACGGATATCAAACTATACTACAAGGCCACTGTAATCAAAACAGCCTGGTATTGGCATAAGAACAGGCATACAGGCCAGTGACGGCGTACCTATGACAGGCATGCCAGAGGTGACACGCGAACTCGTTTTTTTGGTTGATTTTTCTTTGTTAAATGGCATTTAAATATATAAAATAAATATCAAAAATATAAGTCTTTGTTTTACTATGGTTGCAAACATCAAAAAATTTCTAGATGTGACACGGCACCAGTTAAGTTAGGGTTTTTCAAAATGCTGGCACGCCAAGCTCAAAAGGCTCGCCATCACTGATATAGACCAATGGAACAAAACAGAGAGCCCAGAAATTGACCCAAGCCATTACACTCAATTACTACTTGACAAAGGAGGCAAGAGCATACAATGAAGTAAAGACAGTCTCTTCAATAAATGGTGTTGGGAAAAATGGACAGGTACATGCAAAAAAAAAATTGAAACTACACCATCTTACACCATACACAAGAATAAACTAAAAATGCAAAAAAGACTTAAATGTAAGTCACTAAACCATAAAAATTCTAGAAGAAAACATAAGTAGTAAAATCTCAGATGTTTCTTGCAGCGATATTTTTGCAGATATGTCTCTGAGGGTAAGGAAAACTTAGGAAAAGATAAACAAATGGGACTACATCAAGATAAAAAGCTTCTTCATAGCAAAAGAAGCCATAAAAAATGAAAAGAGAACCCACTGTGTAAGAGAACATATTCACCAATGTATATCTGATAAGGGGTTAATGTCAAAAATATATAAAGAACTTACACAACTCAACACTGGGAAGACAAACAATCCAATTAAAAAATGGGCAATGGACCTGAATAGACAGCTCTTTAAAGAGGGCAGACAGATGGCCAATAGACATATGAAAAATTGCTAATGGTCACTAATCATCCAAGAGATGGAAATGAAAACTACAATGGCGTATCACCTCATACCTGTCAGAATGGCAATTATCAATAATTCAACAAGCAAGTGCTAGAGAGGATGTGGAGAAAAGGGAACACCAGTGCACTGTTGGTAGGAATGCAGATGGGTGCCGCCACTGTGGAAAAGAGTATGGAGTTTCCTCAAAAAATTTAAAATGGAACTGCTTTTTGACCCAGTGATTCCACTTCTGGGAATACATCCTAAGAATCCTGAAACACCAATCAGAGAGAATATATGTACCCCTATGTTCATAGCAGCATTATTTACAATAGCCAAGATATGAAAACAACCCAAGTGCCCATCAGCAGATGAGTGGATAAAAAGCAGTGGTACTACTATGTGGAATCTAATTAACAAGATAAACTGACAAAGAAAGTGGAAGCAGAATTATGGATATATGGAACAGACTGATAGGTGCCAGAGGGGAGGTGGGTGGAGGTGACTGGAAGTTGAAGGAATTAGCTAAAGGACATATATGCACATCATAGACAGACAATAATGTGGTGAAAGCCAAGGGAAGGGGAGGCGGGGTGAGCAAGGGGGGCAAAGGTGGTGGTGGTGGGGGGAGTGGGGGACATCAGCAATATTGTCAACATTAAAAATTTTATTAAAAAATGTAATAAAATAATAGAACAAACATGCACTCAACAAATGCCGGAAGCCAGTTCCAGCATGTCAGCAGGGCTGAATCATCTGGAGGTGGCTGAGGACATTTCCCCAAACCTGAAAAGGATGCATTAAATGATTGTTTGCTGCCAGACAGCTGAGGGCATTTCAATCTACATGTTATTGCCTCCTACTGGCCAAACACCTGAACAGCTGAAGGCAATTCCCCAATCTGACAATGGATTCTTTTTTTTTTAAAATATAATAGCCAAGATATGAAAACAACCCAAGTGCCCATCAGCAGATGAGTGGATAAAAAGCAGTGGTACTACTATGTGGAATCTAATTAACAAGATAAACTGACAAAGAAAGTGGAAGCAGAATTATGGATATATGGAACAGACTGATAGGTGCCAGAGGGGAGGTGGGTGGAGGTGACTGGAAGTTGAAGGGATTAGCTAAAGGACATACATGCACACCATAGACAAAGACAATAATGTGGTGAAAGCCAAGGGAAGAGGAGGCGGGGTAGGCGAGGTGGGCAAAGGTGGTGGAGGGGAGGGGGGGGAGTGGGGGACATCAGCAATATTGCCAACATTAAAACTTTTATTAAAAAATGTAATAAGAAAATAATAGAATAAACATGCACTCAACAAATGCCGGGAGCAATAGAGAAATCTGACAATGAATTCTGTATAAGAAACCCTACCCTTTGATGTGTCTATCTACCTCGCCTTAGGACAAATTGTGTTAATAAAGAGCAAGGGGTCCTGAGACAAGGAGAACTTAGTTCCTTTAGCTAAGTCTTCTCTGACTCCCCAAAATGCCTTTCAAAATTATGTTTTGTTCTGGATTCTTGATTAATTTACATATAGGGCTTCCCCAGATTCCTGAACCATTCTAGATGCTGGATCAAGACCACCGGCATTAAAAAAATACCCATACACACAAAATAATGAAAACTATGTAAAGTGCATCCAATTTAGAAAGAATCAATTTAGAATAGTCAAAAAACTATTCAAAAATTAAAATAGTAAGTAGAGGCCCGATGCATGAAATTCGTGCAAGGGGCTCGGCCCTCGCAGCACCGGCTTCATCCGGAAGGTTGTCTGGACGGTAGTTCTGCTGTTCAGTCTAATTAGCATATTAGCTCTTTATTATATAGGACAATAGCATTGTGGGGGGATTTTTCTTCATTCTTTTATAACATTATTAAATTGCTTTAAAAAATTAAAATACATTTTTTGGTTATACACATAAAACCTCTACATAATTTAAAGATATTAAATAATACTAAAATATAATTTCAAAATAAAACCATTGTGTAGCTTTAAAATTCATGTAAGTACAAAATCCACATACCAGAACCAACTTCCTTTTCCTCTTCTTCAATGTTGTTTTTGATGCTATCATATTCTTCATCAATCGTCTGATTGCCTCGCATCTGAGACAAAATCCTACGGGCCTTCTGAGTCTGTCCTTTCTGAATAAGCCATCGGGGGCTTTCAGGTAAAAAGAGGAAGCCAAAAAACTGTATGACTGCTGGAATCGCTGCAAGTCCCAACATGTACCTGCAATAAAAAACCCAGATAGTATTGTAAAACCTGGTCTTATCTGCACCACATTGGGAATACTATTTAATGCAAAAATAGTGAGAATTGTTTTCTTTTTATTATGTCTATGTATAACCAGAAAAAATAATATTTTTATGCTGTAGTGAGAAATTGAAAAATGACAAAAGTCTGGTTCTTCTCTCACACAAATTACAGTGAAAAAGAACGGGCAAAAGTCACAAAGATTATGTATATGCATTCTGATCCTAACACATCATGCAAAACACCACATTCACCAGCCCTACCCAATACTAATATATAGAGATTTGTATTCTATAATATAAAATGGGATTAAGACAAAACTCTCTGATCTGTTTAAAAGATATACTTTTCAATAAAATGCCCAAATTGATTTCTTTAGTCATTTCCGCCCTGTGAATGATTAGTTATGATTTCATTTTGTCATTAAGCATCATGTTGACCCTCATTAACTAAGGAGTAGAAGCCCATAGGAGGAAAAAAAAAAAAGATGGAGCTGGAAGCAAATAATCAGTATTAAAATGATAGAAATGCAAAAAAAACTAAACCAAAAGAAAAACCAAAAAATCCTGCTCATGTTGTTTTAAGTTACATGTCATCTTTTTAAAATGTCTGTTCTTAATGACTGGCAAAATTCTACGTAGGAAGTAAAATATCATTTTAGATCCATCAGAGAAATAACAAAAATAACATGAGTCCATCGATATCAAAGATCTCTCCAAATTATTCTGACCATCAGACTGATCTCCTAGCATCTTTAGGACTCAAGCTTTTTGAACTGAGGGGTTAGGTTAGGTAAACTTCAAGGTCTCTCTCAAATGAAAACGTCTATGAATCTAGGACACCTGGGTGTTTTCTGTTAATCCAAATTCCCTGGGTATGTTCCCTGGTAGATTCATGATGGTAGAGCTCAGAAGACCAACTCCAATAACATAACAATCATGCTCACAATGTATCAATAAACCAGTGAGAAGTCATCTGACTCAATACGCTTTTCAGAGCTATTCTGGCTGTTAAGCTATTTAAAACGCAAAGCATGGCAACCTTGGAGCCTCCAGATATACATATATCTTATGAAAAAGTTCATTACTTTTTAAGCAATTTCATTTTAATTCATACACAGCACAGAAAAAATACAATTGTCACATGGGTGTTAGGAAAAACTCCTACTCCAAACAGAAGCTAAAACTACATACGGAAACAGCAAAATTCACTAAGATTTAGAAGGTAAACAAAGCGTTTATGAATGACTGATAAATGAATCACTTGGCCTCCATGTTAACAGAAATCTCATTTACAGGGTTTTATATTTTAAGGCATGGGCTATGACGACACTGAATCACTCCTTCCTCTGCTCACCCACGAACACAGTGTCTTAACCTCAATTTATGTCCCTGTGCCTTGCATCGTAATAAATTATTTTCCTGTCCCACTTGATTGCATATTTTACTTTGTATTCAGCACGACACCTAATAAAGTATCTTGAACACAGTAAAAGCTTAGAAAATGTTCTACGAAATGATACAAAAGCAGTTTGTAACTCATTTTATATAGTTTATATATCTCAACTTCCTGTATTAACTAAACAGAAAATAACTGTGCTTCACACTCACAAAGCAATCTCTTCTGGACCATGTAGCTCTGCAAAATTACTTGCACAGTAATCCCTTCCATGGAAACCGTTTGTTATTCTAGAGATGGTGAAACCTTCCCTTCATAAGATGACTCATCTAAAGGCTTCCTAAGAATCTTCAGATGAGAGCAGGAGAGATCAGCTCAAACAAATGCATATTTATGGCCTCTTCCCATTAAAATGTTAACTTGTATAACCAAATCTGCTTAAACATAGCTTTTATTGCTGTAAATCAGTGATTTTCAAACAGTGTGCCTTGAGAATTTTTGAAACATGCAATTACCCTACTATTTAGTCAGGGGCACTGATTTCTTTTCCCTAATATTGTCAAATTAAAAAAAGTGACAACAGCCAACACAACAATAGCCATCCTGTGTGAATGAATCAATTTATACTTTTTTTCCCTTCAGATCAGCAAAACATATACTTTTTGGTGTGCTTCAGAAGTGTAGGAATTAGTTTTTGTATGCCATGAGATGAAAAAGGTTGAAAATCACTGCTGTACAGGACTGAAAGTTCTATTTGGTTGTAATCCCTTAAAAAAAAGCTTATACAAAATTGTATTGCCAATTATTTAAAAGAAAAGCAATAAAAAGGTAAACACCAAATATACTGGATTATGAAATAAATTTTAAAGGTCCTAAAAATGAATGCTTGTATGCTTTGTTTCTCTGTCCCTTTTATAATCTGTTCTTCTGTTCTCCAAACTCTCTTCAGTGATAAATTAAGATCAAAGGAGCCCTTGAAATGAATATAGAAATGGAATCATTTTCAGGCCCAAAGATGCTCACACAACACTTTTACTACTCACTATTAGCTAGCCTATGTTGTTGTTTTAATCCTCACCCTAGGATTTGTTTCTATTGCTTTTTAGAGAGGGAGGGAAGGAGAGAGAGAAATATCAATCACTTGCCTCCAGGAATTGAACCTGCAACCTAGGTATGTGCCCTGACCAAAAGCTTTCAGTGTATAGGATGACATTCCAACCAACTGATCCACCCAGCCAGGGCTAGCCTATGTTGTTTTGTGTGTGTGTGTGTGTGTGTGTGTGTGTGTGTGTATGTGTGTGTGTGTTTAATTGTAGACAGTGTTATAGATGTCCTCCATCTTCCCTACCCCACTTTGCCTACCTTCAACCTGTCCCTGCCCCCACCTCTCCTAGGCCTATAACACATTACTTACTGTGTATGTCCATGGACCATGCATATATGCATAGCCTACGTTTCTTAAACAAGCTACAGAAGACAGAATAGTTTAGCTCTCCTGCATTGGAAATCTGTTAAGTGTCAAGAGTCTAGGTCTGAAATTTACAATTCAATTCACTAATGCTAGGATGGGGAAAAGGAACTTGCACCTTGCTGCCAATCTTTAAGGATATTAAAGCCTGATTCCAGAGACTACTCAAGATAAAACATGTCTTATGCATTTACATCCTAATGTTTCTAAAGAAACTTATTTTTACTATATTTTGATTACCTTTCATGGTAAAGATATTTTGATAGGGCACCTGACGTATCATCTCAAACACAATAAACATGCTCCTAAAGATATTTTGATAGGAAAAAATTTCCATTGCTTTGTAAAGACCAAATAGGATGGGTGGGGGAAAAGGGGTAGCTGTGGTTTGTGACTGAGAGCAGAGGAACACACCTGGGACATACTTCAGCTCTGGGCATTCTAATCACAAACCCTGGTCAAGTTATGTAACATTTCAATGCACAGGTGATAGTGTCTATTTCATAGGACATCTGGGTAATTAGGTGAAATCACTCAGTTGGTACCTAAAATGGAGAAGATGCTCAGCAAAAAATGTTTTCACCTTCCTACTCAATTCAATACAACTTGTCTATCTCACCTCTATCATTCCCTCAAACTTTCGGTAGGTAGAACTAACCAATTTCTTTCTTGAGGAAAACCCATTCCTCTGGTGATGTGCAGATTGCAGATAAATGAAAGTTTGCTTTACTGTAGCACTGATGAGAATTTTATCATGCAACTAAAAGAACGGTAACTCTATAGACTTAGTGAAGGCAGTATTAGGGACTCACCATCAGTCCCTTAAATCCAAGGAAATCAGGACCAGATGAATAACAGTGTGTATACTGATAGGACAAGGAGTATACTGTTAACCAGGGCAGTCACTCCCCAAACAAACAAGTAGTCCCCTACTGACATGGGGGATCTCATTATTATTAAAGTCAACAGTTCTAAACCCTGGCTTCACATTAGAATCACCCAGGGGGCTTTTAAAACACACTAATATCCAGGCTCCACCCAACGAGGAATTCTGATTAATTGGTGTGAGCCCCAGTCCCACAGTCCTCTATTTTATTCAAAGCTCTCCGGGCAGGATGGTGCTAATGTGCACTCAGGGCTGAGACCTGAGTGATTAAAACACCCATGGGATGAAAGTGAACAATAAGAACCCGAAGTCCACACCTTGGGCAAAATCGATTTGACTCCTGGAGACAAGAGAGCACTCCAAGCTGACAGGAAGGGGAAGCGGGTTGGCTCTAGCAAAAATACCACTAAGACTAGCAATGAAACTGAAACTTGGTTCTGGGTATAATAAGGGTATTTAGCAATCTTCTCTAATACTCAAAACGGTCATAATAAGCTGAAAAAATCAAATAACAAACCTGTCTCTGTACTGCCAATAGCTTTAATCCCACCCTCTGTCTTCTAGCTAACACCTGTTTATAGCTGTTATTGACTTATAAATCATGCTCATGCCTGCCCATCCTGAATAGCTCAAATAAATTAGAAGATTAGTACAAATATTAAAATGCTATGCTTTATTCATTAAAACTCTACAGTCCCAAACTGGCATCCTCTCACTTGTAACTATCCTATCTAATAAAAGAGTAATATGAAAATTAGCCGTCACACCCTCATTCCCTCACTCCATCAGTTGGTCACGAAGATGGCAGCAGCCACGGAGCTGGAGTGAGCAGGAGCCTTAGGTTGCTCCCGGCAATAAGGGAAGCCAAGCTTCCTGCCTGCCCTGGCTGGCCCTGAGCTCCGCTCAAGGCTACAAAGTTTCAATTATAGAAGATAAATAAATCCCACATACCTGCTTCCAGCCCGCGTGGCCTCTGCTCAAGGAGGGGCTGGGAACATGGGTTGCCAGGGGCAACCCAGGCTTCGAGCGGGACAAAGGCTACAAAGTTTCAATTATAGAAGTTAAATAAATCCCAGATATCTGCTTCCAGCCCGTGGCCCTGAATGGGGTGTGGCCAGCCTGAAAACGGCCATCAGCCCCTCACCCAGGCTGGCCAGGCACCCTAGTAGGGCCCCTCACCCCGAAGGAGCTGTGGCAGTCTGGAAACGACCCTCAGCCCCTCAC